AGAACCACAATTTCAAGGTTTGGATTTTCAATTTCGGGTCTGTAGCGTTTTCTCTTTATTAGTACCGTTTTCGATTGCGTTGCTTTCATTTTTGGGAAATCTGGCTCATGTAGTATCTCTTAAATATTCATCCTGATTACTAGACAGCGAGCGCGAGCCCTGGCTGAAGAAGCCGTTCACCAGGAAAACTTAACTGTAAGTTCGGGTTCGAATGAGTGGCCAGCCCCTCCTCCACCCGTTCAGCAATCTAGAGTACCATTCTTTCGTTCACTTTTTAAATCAGCTAATAGATCGCCGAGGGCTGACGCACAATCGAAGGCTTTTTGTGGAATTCCTACACCTAGTGAATGTTCTCTAGTTTCTTCTTGTACCGGTAGCCAAAGTTCTGACTCCGAAGAAGATCTTATTTATGAGAGCGTCAAGACCAGAGAAAATCTTTCCAATCGTGAAAATGTAAGCGAAGATTCTCTCGAAGCTCGTAATGACTCAGTTGTTAATAGTCGACATAATTCTTTAGACTCAAATCAGTTGTCTCTTGCACCAGCCTATGCAGAAATGGAAGACCAAGTTAGTCAGTTATGCCAAGCAGTCGAACGAATGCAAGCTTCGGTTAATTCACAAAATAGAAGCAGCGGTGTAAAATCGTCAGTTACATTTCCAATTTTTAGAGGTGACGAATCCGAATACACGGGGGAATCGTTCTATTGAGTTTTACTAAATCATGTTTCTGAGTTGTTTTCTGCATGTAACCATCACTATCATTAATGCCAGCGTCTACACTGTAACACAGGTTGCCTGGAGAAGATTAATCATACCTTTCTGGAGCACGGTTTCTCTATAACTGTGAATCCGTACAAAACACGGAGTGATCACCGATCTCAGATCACATCAAGCGTTGTTAAGAGCATTTCAAACACTATATGACTACATTGCAACATTCACTTACAACACAACCTAGTTCCTTGAATGCGATCCATAACAATTTCATGCTTGATATCTCGTTTTCATTCTGATATTTTTAAAAACAGATATATATATTAAGACCCGAGCCACTTTTAGGGGTGTGTTTACTTGCGTTATGCCCATCTTCGACAACCCTTTTGGCCCGACTGCAGCAATCCCGTAACATCACGTACAAGAAAAACGCTGAAATGGTACTGACAGACACACTAAGGGTATATATACTACCACATGACAAAGCATTAAGAGGTGAGACTGAGGAACCTACAACTTCATCGAGAAATAAAGAGAAAAGACAGCCAAGCAGTTATAAAACTACGACCCTACCTGGTAGAGCCAGAGAGTTACAAAAGCCATGTCCAAGTCCAGGAAGAGAGAAGGCGTGCACAAAAGGTTAAGTCATGAGACACACAGATGCATTTACCAGCAAGTGATGGCAGCAGAATTCCGAAGAAAAAGGCAGAAATTGCGAAGGTTGTACAAGCTTACTGTGGAAGACCTACTGCCGCCTCCACCTGTAAGAAGGTACTAGTCTCCATTACCCATAGTCCAACAATCTTGTAAGCTGCCATTACTCCAACGAAAAAGTTCGTGTAAATAACAGTTTACGGAGGACCGTAACAATGAGAGAGGACTTATTGATAATTCTTGTGAGAGGAAGTGTAGCCTTACAGTCTTATTTCTCACGGTTTACATGCTTCAAACAAAAATATCAAAATAGACACATCATGATTGTCGTCGGTATTATAATTAAAGACTTCACAACTTTACATATTCATATGGCTCTGTTTGTAAAGATTTAGCGATAAAAGTGATTATATTATCTTTCAATCCCTCAGACTGACTAACATCTGATTTCTACTTACAGAATAACTGATGAATCAAACATTAAGGTCACAAGAGAAAAAAAAATGATTGCCAACTATGTCTAGCTCTTGACAGTGAAAATGTCTGGTCCTTTAAACAATCTTTATTAATTTTATAGGTTAATTGGCTGTTGCAAGAACGAACCGTATAATTTGACCAATCTGATCATGATAACAGACGTGTAACAGACATGTTTCATCAGACATTTAGCAACTAATGGAAAATTAGCAGCAAATACTATTAGTCATGAGCCTTGATGACCTACAAGTAATAGCTATGGCTGACTGGTCAAAACCAAGATAAAATCTTGAATAGGCAGGTTCTTGAGTTTCAGATTGAAACCACAGTTGAATGTAATTAACTAGTGAAAGGAAAATAATTTCCACACCTACAAAATGATCAGTGTAAAATGAAAAAATAAGCAGAAAGCTAGGAGAACAAGTTTAAGTTTAAAATAAAGCAAGAAAAGCAATATCATCAGTGAAGTTGAAAGTTGTCCTATCACTTCAAGATCCTGCTATTCCTTACACCAAGAGGAACTACAAAATAAATGGAATTACCGTAGTTGCCCCAAAATTACAAATAAGACACACCTCTAAATATCTCACTTCTCCCTTCCAAGGACACCCATCCTTCATGAATGGGCAAGGAACCTTAAAAGCAGATATTTCACGACGCATAAAACTGTCTGGGAAAACCTACAAGGAAAAAAATTAGAATAATCAATCTAAAATTTCAAATTCTTCTTTCAAATAAGGTAAAAAGGAAATATACCTAATGGGATACAACACAAAACAGAGCTTGCTAACAGGATGAGAAAATAGACACACTAACCTCATGTACAAATCATTTACTTATCATAAGTTATATGCTTGTTCCACATTCATAAACAATAGTCTCCATTAAACATGTGTGGACATGTGGACATGCACTTAAAGGGAACCACTCTTTTAACAAATAGTGGTCAAAATGCTCCAAATGCAATTCTCAATAGATTTGGCATAAAAAGATTGCCTAACTAAGCAATCTGATATTTGAATTTCCAGTGGCTGCCATCTTTAAATAGTGCACAATTAATTCACTATGGGCTGATATGACGTGTAATGGCTGCTCGGTGCACTCGCAGTGTAGCGTTTCACTCTTGTTGATGCTGAAATTTTCTTCAGGCAACAGCAACAAAGCATCAACAAGAGAATTGAGTGACAATTACACGTCATCAGCCCAAAGTGCATAATGCACACTAATTCAAAATGGTGGCCATGGGATTCCAAGTAGCTGCAATACCCTTCTTTGGAAATAGATATCAAAATCAGATCGTTTGGTAAGGAAACTTTTAATGCCAAATCTATTGAGAAGTACCGGTATATTTGGAACATTTTGAGCATTATTTGTAAAAGAGGGTGCTGGTTCCCTTAACTCACACAGTGCTTTTCCACCCAGGAGTGGCAAATGGGTACTAGGCAAACTGTCAGAGAAACCTGATAAGAAGCCTGAAGGTATTCCCTTGATCTTTTTTTAGCTTCAACACCCCCCC